GGGGGGGACACCAGAGGGGACATGGGGGAGGACAGGAGGGGACTTGGAGGGACACTGGGGGGACATAACGGGGACACTGGGACACAAAGAGGGGACACTGTCCCAGGGCCACCAGTGCTCAGGGCCCCTCAGCCCCTGGTCCCAGTGTCATGCGGGGCCCTCCCAGTAACGCCCCCTGTACCCCCGGCAGTCCCAGTAAAGCTCTGTGCTCGCAGTAATGTCCAGTGCTCCCAGTATTCCCAGTCCTTCCCCAGTCCTGCAGCTCATTGATTCCCCGACCTGTCAATCATCGCCTCCGCCCCGCCTCTTCGCCGAGCCCGGAAGCCGATTGGCCAAGCGCCACGTCAATCTCTACAATCCCCGCCCTCGCCGTGGCGCTTCCACCACTGATTTGCCCGTTCTCTTTCCCGCCCTTTCTCTCCCGCCTACTCCTCTCCTATTGGCCCCTCGCCCCGTCAATCTCTCTCCTCCTCCCTCTTTCATTGGACGCTGCGCTGTCCATCAGGCTCAGCGGGCGGTGATTGGCCGGGGCGGGAGCGGAAGCGGAAGCCGTGAGGGGGCTGAGGGGAGGCCGGGCCATCATGTCGGGCCCTGAGGCGGCGGCGGCGGCCAAGACGGGCCCGGAAGGGGCCGGGAAGGGCCCGGGAGCGAAGCCCTTGGGGCACCTGGAGCTGCTGGAGCACTGCGGGCGCTGCCAGGAGCGCCTGAGCCCCCAGCGGGACCCGCGGCTCCTGCCCTGCCTGCACTCGGTGTGCGGGACCTGCCTCGGCGGAGATGGAGCGGGTGAGGGGAGACTGGGGGAGCTGGGAGGCACTGGAAGCACTGGGGGGTCACTGGGAGCACTGGGGGACACTGGGAGCAATGGGGGCCTCTCCCCCACTAAGGGGGTGTGGGGTGACCCCGGTACCCCCTCTGCCCCCCCTGTGCCCCCCGTGCCCCCTGACCTCGTGTCCCCGCTGTCCCCGCAGTGTTCGAGTGCCCCGTGTGCCACCACCAGTGTCCCCTGGGGGACATCCTGGACAACTTCTTCCTGCGGGACAGTGGGGCTGGAGCCACCGCAGGGCCTGAGCCCCGCCAGGTAGAGCCTCGTTAGCGTTAATTAGCGCTAATTAACCGGGGGGGGGGGAGGTGACCCAGCCTGTCCCTTGTCCTCAGAGCTGCAGCAGCTGCGAGGACAACGCGGCGGCCACGAGGTTCTGCGATGACTGCGCCGAGCCCCTGTGTGACACCTGCGTGCAGGCCCATCTCAGGGTCAGGTACACCCGGGGCCACTCGGTCAGGGACATCGGTGAGTCCCTGTCACACCCCCTGTCACCCCCCCTGTCCCTGTGTGACACCTGCGGGCAGGCCCATCTCGGGGTCCCGCTCCCATTCCCAGGGTTATCCTGGTGCCGTTCCCGATCCCATTCCCAGTGCCATTCCCAGTCCACTCCCAGTCCCGTTCCTGTGTCATTCGTGTGGGCGGAGCTGCTCTCCGGGACATTCCCATCCCAGTCCCATCCCAGTCCATCCCAGTCCGTTCCCACAGGCTCAGTCCCATCCCAGTCCGTTCCCACAGGCTCAGTCCCATCCCAGTCCATCCCAGTCCATCCCCACAGGCTCAGCCCCGCCCCGTCCCGGTGCCGATCCCGCTCTGGGGCCGTGCCCAGAGCACCCAGAGGAGCCCCGGGATCGGTTCTGTTCCACCTGTTCCACCCTCCTGTGCCGCCTGTGCCAGCTCAGCGCCCACCAGGGCCACCGGTGAGTTCATTAGTGCTCATTTGCATGTTAATCAAGCACGTTAATTAGCATGGGGAAAAACGGGGATTTGGGGCATAGAGGGAATGGAAACGGGAGTTATGGACTGAAAGCTGCTCAGGCCCCTGGAAAGGGGATTAGTTAATTAATTATGTTAATTAGTTGTTGAAGAAGAGCTGGAGATGGTCTGCAGGTTAATTATTAATTATTAATTAGAGATTCTCTAATAGATTTTAGGATGTTTTTGTAATGAACAATAGAGGGTTTTTACTGCGTTTTTGTCTGATTGCTTCAACTTCGTGGCTGCATTGATAGTTAACTCAATTATTTATTTAAACAATT